TTTCACACACACACCACACCTCCACACACACACACCCACACCACACCCACACACACACACACACCCCAACATCACACCTCCACACACACAACCCCACACCCACACACACACACACCCCAACCACACCCTCCACACACACACACCCAACCACACCCTCCACCACACACACACCCCAACATCACACCCTCCACACACACCACACCCACCCCAACACCACACCTCCACACACACACACACCCAACACCACACCCACACACACACACACACACACCCCAACACACACCCCACACACACACACACCCAAACATCACACCCTCCACACACACACACACACCCAACACACATCCACACAAACACACACACACCCAACATCACACCCTCCACACACACACACACACCCCAACACCACACCTCCACACACACACACACACACCCAACACACCCTCCACACACACACACACACACACACCCACACAACTCCACACACACACACACACACACACACACACACACACACACACACACACCCAACAATCACAACTCCACACACACCACACACACACACACACACACACATCCAACACCACACCTCCACACACACACACACCACCCCACACACCTCCCACACACACACACACACCAACACCACACCCTCCACACACACACACACACCAACACCACACCTCCACACACACCAACCACACACTCACACACCCACACACACACCCACACACACACACACACACACACACACACACACACACACACACACACACACACACCCAAACACACTCCACACACACACACACCCCAACACCCTCCACACACACACACACCCACACCCACACACACACACACAACCCCCAACACCAACCTCCACACACACACACACCCACCACACCTCCACACACACACCCAACACCACACCTCCACACACACACACACACCCAACACACACCACACACACACACACACACACACACACACACACACACACACACACACACACACACACACACACACACCCCAACACCACACCCTCCACACACACACACCCCAACACCACACCCTCCACACACACACACCCAACACACACCTCCACACACACACACACACACACACACACACACACACACACACACACACACACACACACCAACACACCTCCACACACACACACACCCAACACACCCCACACACACACACACCCAAAACCACACCCACACACACACACCCAACACCCCACACACACACACACCCAACACCACACACACACACACACACACCCAACACCACACCTCCACACACACACACACCAACACCACACCTCCACACACACACACACACACACCCACCCAACACCACACCTCCACACACCACACACACACCCCAACACCACACCCCTCCACACACACACACACACACCCCAACACACACCCTCCACACACACACCAACACACACCCCCACACACACACCAACCCCAACCCACACACACACACAAACAACCCCACCTCCACACCACACACACACACAACCCAACCAACCCCACACACCACCACACACACACACACCCACACAACCTCACACACACACACACACACCCCAACACCACAACTCCACACACACCACACACCCCAACACCACACCTCCACACACACACACCCCAACACCACACCTCCACACACACACACAACCCCCAACACCACACCCTCCACACACACACACACCCCAACACCACCCTCCACACACACACCCCAACACCACACCCCACACACACACACACACCCCAACATCACACCCTCCACACACACACACACACACCCCAACACCACACCCTCCACACACACACACACACCCCCAACACACCTCCACACACACACACACACACACCCCAACACCACACCTCCACACACACACACACACACACCCCAACACCACACCCCACACAACACACACCCACCCACATCACACCCCACACACACCACCCAACACCACACCTCCACACACACACACACCCCAAACACACCTCCACACACACACACACCCCAACACCACACCTCCACACACACACACCCCAACACCACACCTCCACACACACACACACACACCCCCCAACACCACACCCCACACACACACACACACCCACCCACCACACCTCCACACACACACACACCCCAACACCACACCTCCACACACACACACACACACCTAAACACACCTCCACACACACACACACACACACACACACACACCCAACACCACACACACACACACACCCCAACACACCCACACACACACACACACACACCCCACACCACACCTCCACACACACACACACCCCACACCTCCACACACACACACCCCAACACCACACCTCCACACACACACCACCCCAACATCACACCCTCCACACACACACACACACACCCCCAACATCACACCTCCACACACACACACACACACCTCAACACCACTC